GAATCACGAAAGGAAGCACTTTTTTTTTCCTTGGCCGTTAGATCATATATCATTTTACGTTATAAATTAAATATGATTATATGTCGAATATCCATGATAAAAATGCACTCTCTATGGCTATCATTAAACGACACATTTTTTTATTGAGATTATAGAAAAGCGTCATTGACCTATTTATTTTGAATAAAACACACACGCACACATACTGTAATACAGTAAAAAATACGTCGTGCATGTCAAATTTTCTATCAATCACCATTTGACAAGGTAATATCATTTGAAGAAGAAAATTATCAATTTTGAACATAAAAAATAAGACATACAACAAACAAATAAACAAAAAAAATAGAAAATATGAAGTCAATAGAAACTGTGTAAATAGGTCAAACTTGTGTATATTTAACAAATATTTTCCGATTTAAGTAACGCAAAAAAGATTGCAAAATAAAAATATATATATATAAATGCACATGTTTTTAGTTTCAGAGGTTTCTATTCAACACAGAATGAATCAAAATAACTTTGAGTTTTTATTTTTTTTCTAAACTAGGGTTCGTTTTAAAAAATTTTATGTTCGAAAAAAAAAACGTTCTTCTATTCAATAGTCAGTTAATTTGTCAAATAATGTGATTAATGTGCCGTGTGTATTCTTTGCCTATTTTATATCAAAAAATGGGAAGATTCTTTTATTCTAGCTGTGAACTAGGAACGAGTCGTTAACAATAGAATTAAACGTATATGTGTATAGCGCAGAGAGGGAGAGAGAGAGAGAGAAAGAGAGAGAGAGAGAAAGAGAGAGAGAGAGAGAGAGAGAGAGAGAGAAAGAGAGAGAGGAAATAAAAGTGATGAACGCTGTAGAAAGACGTAACAACTCTTAATTTAAAAACATTTCACATTTTTTTTTTCGAAAAGTAAAAGAAAACGTGAGTCGTCGTCTTATGATCTATAAACTAAAAATGAATTTATAGACGAAATAGAAAATTATTTATTTTTACATATACAAAAAAAAACCAGCCAACCACTTACTCATTTCAAGCAAAATCACAGAAAGACAACAGATAAAAAATAATAATAAAATGAAAAAATGTCGATATTTAGGTTCATTCGTTGTAAAAACATTTAAGAGAAAGAAAAAAAAAAACACACTATCACATGTGTTAAAGACTAAAAAAACAAAAAGAAAACATGAAAGGAAAGAAAAAAAACATCTGTTGAGTTGTGTTTGAATTAGGAGACAAATAATGAATTTGTTGACGATTGTAATTTACTACTAGTGCCCACACGTGTTGAACCATCTTCATTGTAAATCAAACATAGAAAACCTAAATAATGATAGAAAAATTGAGAAAATAAAAATATTGTGAAGAGTATGAAAATAACGAGCCATCCTATTCCTTTTTGTTTTTCTTACTATAATAAGAAAAATAATATCTGAATGATGTTTAAATCGTACGTAGATAGTCGAACAATATTGACATCAATCACAATGATGTTAGACTATGTTTTGATATTATCATCAGAGCTGCTCATCTGTACAAGTCAGAAATTCGGTAAAAAAAAAAAATGGATACCCATTTTCAGTGCCTTATTTAACCTTTTTTCTACTGCTCAGAGTGCCAAAAAAGATTTCTTCTCTAACTCTATGTGATTTTAATCGATAAAATACAAGAAAATTCGTCGATTTTAATCGATACGCTGTTTTCTGAATTTATATTTTTGATTTGAAAAGTAACAAGCACTTTAGTTCCCTTATAAGATGAGAAAGGCAACCGCCACAAACGAGAGATAAAAAAACACTTAAAAATCTTCATGATCAGGATGAAAGAGCCAAAAGTAGAAAACTTCTTAAAATTCAGGATATCGCACAGATAACTCTGCTGCTACCAGCGTGAAATTCCGTGATGAAATTTTGACATTTTCCTTTGTATATACTTTTTTAATGAAAGCACATACAGTGCTATGGAATATCTAGAATTGTAAAACAAACGTTTCTCTACAAAATGAAGCGTCTCGAGGCTCTGTACGTTTCTTTGTTTAAAAAATATAAGGAAAATACAAAACACCCTTTTTAAGCTTCATTTTGTAAAAGTAGCATTTGGTATTTCCCATTTATTATTTAAACAAAGAAACGTACAGAGCCTGGAGACGCCTCATTTTGTAGAGAAACGCTTGCTTTACAATTCTAGATGTTCCACAGCACTGTATGTGCTTTCGTTAAAAAAGTATAAACATAGCAAAATGTCAAAATTTCGTCACAGAATTTCACTCCGGTAGTTATCTGGTCGTGTCGCAGACAGGTTCCAGAAAAAACTCAAAACGTTGGAATTTGTTCGAATTTTCCGGACAAGGTGGCAGGTATGATTATCACAGACCATTCTCAAGTGTCTATTCGCTTTTGCCTTGAAATCGACCTGATGGAAGGTTAATTTTAATATTGATCGTGAATGTCTGAAGATCTACTCTAAATGACATGGTGAATGAACGCTGACCCGTCTCGTTTGAAGACTTCATTGAATTTATTAAATTTTTTAAGACTGACAGATGAAGTGTTCAATGAACTGCATCTTTGATTTTGTGAAAATATCTAACCTTACAGCTTTTTGTTACAGTAAATGTAAAAAACTTTCGGTGAGTTCACTGAATACTTCATTGGTAAATCTTAAAAAATTGAATAAATAAACTCTACAAAGTAGATGGGTCAGAGTTCATTCATCATGGGATTTAGAATAGATCTTCAGAGATTGTTTTTACACTGATCTATCCGTCAAAATGGGTAGTAAAATTAAGGGTACCCTTCCTCTCATTTTGGGCTTTCCGTAGAAATGCTGTGAAATAAAAACTAAACCTCACTAAGATCTCAAATTTTCAGAACTGACTGGAAACTCAATGGAGCACCTTTTTTGCAAGTTTCTAACTACTGCCGTTCACTAATTTTTCAGAAAACTCGATTTTTCATTGTGCTCCCCCTTAAATTTCATCTGATCGAGTTAAAAAATTTACCAGAGGTACTCAAGGTCATAGCGCAGGGAATAATTTTGGAATTTTCGTTTAGACCTTTTTTTACCGAGTTACAGGATTTCTAAAATTTAAAAAGTTGATTTTTGAAAGTTTTTCGGTATTTTTCTTATACGGTAAAAAAGTTTTCTTAACTCGAGTTTTCTGGAAAACTGGTGAACGGTAATAGTTAGAAACTTGCAACAAAAGGTGCTCCATTGAGTTTTCAATTAGTTCTGAAAATGTGAGGTCTTAATGAGTTTTAGTTTTTATTTCACAGCATTTCTACGGAAAGCTTCAAATTTCAAGACAAAAGTAAAAAGACACTTGAAACTATTTTCTCATTCGACTAAGCACCTTTATCTATGACGTTCTATTTGATTGAGCACACAGACAATCAATTTCCCAAATTCAGTTTATAAATGAATCTTTACCTTTTGTATCTTGTATTGTTTTAGCATTTTTCAACATAACATTGTTAACAATTTCATTTGCATCAACTCGTGTGGCATGTAAACGACGTTGAATATCGCCAAATTCATCAAAGTAAGGCGCCTAAAAATATATTCAAAATTATTGAAATAATCACTATTAATGAACATATTCTAAACTTACCCGCCTGCATTTAACAGCTTTTCGTACGCTATCTGTACTTTGAGTACTATCATCACTGGCTTGTCTAAATAAGAAAAAAATAATTAAAATGACTTTTAATTTCGTTGATCTATGATAAATAGAGAAAAGTAGAGCTCTAATACATTGATTAATTAATATTTTATTCGTATTTATAGTAGCTATTTATAAAAATAAACTAGAGAACATAAGAGAATTGATTTTAGAAGAAATGACGTAGAAACTACTCTTAATTTTTATTGCATTTATTTTTTTTTTGCATTTTTAAAATACACGTCAAACTTTAATGCAATTTATCTTTCTGATAAGCAACATCAAATTAAGTGTCCGATTTCAGACAACAAAAATGAGCTATTATTTCAAGCAAAAGCAAGAATAAGCATTAGCGTAAAGTACTAGCAGCATAACACGTGCCTGCCAAATATTCTATTGTTGTTTATTGGTGATTTCCTTGAAATTAGTTTAGAAATAAGCATTTATTCCCATTCTCTCTCTCTCTCTTTTCGCTCTTTCTCAGCTTCACACAGACACACATTTCTATTTACCTATGAATATTAGGATCTGAATATGAATTATGTAAGAGACGTGATTCATTCTTGAGCGAATCTATATTCGAAAATCTAACACCAAACAAAAGAACAAAACAAAGAATAAATAAACAATAAGCAACATATACACACACACACAAGATAAACTACAACATGTAGTAATTGGAATTGATCTCTTCCACAACAAAGGTTATCTCTATTCATTTCTCTACGAATAGTAGTACATTGATATCAAACAAAATATAGTTTTTTTTCTATAGTCTAATTTTAATACTGATACTCTTCTATGGATGATGTTTGACTCTTACAAAAGATTTTTAAAATGGTAGTTACAAAACGAGAAGAATTGCTTTACTCAAGAAAACAAATGATTCAGTTATCTATCATTCGACTAGTTGATCTAGTGAACAAATATTTTAAGAAATGTGATGAAATATAAAAAAGTACCTTTGATGACATTTTTCACTTGTTGATCCAGTTGGTGATATAGCCGCGGATGGTGGATTTGTCGATGTAGAATGATTTGAAAGTAATGATTTCATTGAACTTTTACTTGCTTGACGTGAATGGCCGGGAGGATGTTTTTGTATTTGAGATTGTTGTAATTGAGTCGTCGATGTATCTGTGGAGTCTGAACTATCTAAATAAATTACATTATTTCAATATCAACTGTAGTTATATAACAGCAAAACTCGGATTAAAAATAAAAATCATACAAAAAAAAAACTGAACTCGACTCGAACGTTTTCTTCAGTGGAACGTTGTGATTACATTTTATATTATTTGTATCTCTTCTTATATTACAAGAAAACTTAAATCGTAATTTTAGTCTAAGTTTAAGATCGACTTAGGTTTGGGGACTGTATTACGAAAACATAAAAATCTGCTAAATAATGAAGTATCTATTCTCTAAACCTTCTTAAAACGTTTCGTCAAATTGTATCGTTAAATGTCTGAGCTATTCGAAAAATGCGTCAATGACTTAAGTTTTCGATTTTAAGCTTAAGACTACATTTCCAATGACGTAAGTCACCCTTTGACTTAAGTTTTTTTGTAAAACGGTTTGAAGCTAAGATGAGAACTTAACTCTGACTAAAGCCTCGAAGAGTCGTATTACGAAAAGTCTTAAACTGGCGTTGTAACGGTCCTTTTAGAAAAAAGAAGAAAAGAAGAGGAACGTTAAAAAACTTTTAAGAGGAGCGTTGGGTAAAAAAGAGGAAACGAGAAGACATTTTTTTTTGGTCAGAAAACGGTACTGAAAATGTTGTGTACGCGTCAGAGTGGCTTAAGACTCTCAAAGAAAAGATTTCATCCTACTTAAAGTATTTTTTTCCATGTTTCGCGAGTAAAAAACTAAGAAAAACACAGCATAAGGGTGTTATTTTAATTTAAATGATGAATGCAGATGAACTTTGTGATAAAGTTGTGGCTGTATGAGACGAAGATGTTGGAAAAACGAATGTGATATTTTCTTTCAACTTTCTGAGTTTTTCACGGTGTTTATCTTTCTTCACATGTTGCACTACCGACTGCCATCCTTGGTTTTGACGATCTAATTCGCCCGTTTTACACAATGTACGTACGAATGTTGATTCCTTAGCACCTTGCTTTAACCATCCTCTCCTAGAGACTTCATCTACTGTTTACTATAATCACGAGTGATTGAATTTTGTTTCATATGACGGCATTGATAAAAAATATATCTAAAACTACTTTCAGATCTAAAAATAGCGTGAATTCTGGTATTTTGCTAAAAAATCTCAGAAATAGAGGAGAAAGTGGAGAGTTCTTAAATTAAAGAGGAAAGAAGAGCATTACGAATCTGGATCTTAAGTTAGACTTAAATCGTTGACGCATTTTCCGAATAGTTCAGACATTTAACGATACAATTCGACGAAACATTTTAAGAAGGTTTAGAGAATAAATATTTCATTATTTTGTGGGTTTTTCTCCCAGGTTTGTCACTGTTGTCAACGACTTTCAAACTTTTCGTAATACGATTTAAGTTCCCGAACTTAAGTCGATCTTAAACTTAGACTAAAATCACGATTTAAGTCGATAATTTAAGCTTTTTTGTAATACGACTCTCGGTCTAGGCTTAAGCCTGACTTAAGACTCGTCGTAACACGATTCTCTGATTCATACTTTACATACCTATTTGTGGATTATTAATCTGACTATTAGAAACATTTGTATCATTTTTAATTTGAACCCTTTCCGTATATGGATGATCAGCATACGGTCTAAAATAGAATAAACAAAAAGAAATGTTTAGTTTTCTATGTTTTAAATAGAAATGTGCAAATTTATATCGTTTTATAAGAAATTATTTTCATCTACTTTAAATGTTTAACCTTTTAAACAGTGGATCAGTAATTGTTTCATTTGCTTTCATTGTACAACTAATCTTTATTTCTAAATAAGCATTTGCCGGATTATTCTTTTGTGACTCATAGGCATATAATAGACACGCTTTTAATTCTTTGCCGCAACCAGCGTACGATGCTAAATCTAAATCGTAGTATCCAATTTTTTCATAACCTTTGCCCACTCGTCCTTCCTGAAAAACAGAAAAAAAAACATATGACCAACTGTTCCCGTAGAATTATAAAGAAAGAACAGTCGACAGTAGAAGAAAGATCAGTGAGGCAAAAAGAAGCTCATTCTTCATGTTTAATTCAAAAACTAATTTTGTCTCATCAGATCTCTCTTAGAACGTCATTTGGTAGTGATTTAGGGACACTCGATTTGTATTACAAAAACAAAAATAAATTTGTATCTTCCAAAGCCAATCCTGAAACCTTCTAAAATGACGTAATGAACGGGTTATACGTACAGCTGCTGTTCTAAAATTCAATGAAAATGCTCTGTGTTTTACTACGGACAGCGCGATTAAAACCATGTATTTATATATGAAACATAATGAAAATTCGAATATACTTGAACAAACGATGTGTACCCATTTTTAAAACTAAGATCAGAGTGGGGTGAATTCATGGAAAATGTTTTTTTTTTGCTACTTTTTTTCAGTTTTCTAGTTAGCACTGAATCAGAAAACAACTTTGGCCGAAAAAAATGTGTTATTTGTCCCAAAAATACCAGAGATTCAGTGCCTTCTCTAGGTACATCCAGGCAGCGTCACCCAAGTTTTTGCGCGATTTAGAGCTCATATTTTGGCGCCTGGTAGAAGATCAACGGACTAGCACAACCTCCAAAGGATTCTTTTTTTCGATGTGCCCTAACTGCGATATTATATTTTTAAGGAGAACAACTTATGCATAATTTTGGCCAAAAACGCTTTTTTCATAGAAAATAGGATGTAGTCGTTCTTCTTAAAAATATGATATCTCAGTCGAGGTACATCGAAAAAAGGAATCCTTTGGAGGTTGTGCTAGTCCGGTGATCTTCTACCAGGCGTCAAAATATGAGCTCTAAATCATGAAAAACCTTGGGTGACACCCCTTGAATGTACCTAGAAAAGGCACTGAATCTCTGGTTATTTTGTTTAAAGTAACACATTTTTTTTGGTCGAAGTTGTTTTCTGATTCGGTGCTAGCTAGAAAACTGAAAAAAAGTAGAAAAAAAAACCTTTTCCAGAAAGATGGTACGTTTCCCATGGAATCAGCCAGTGATCATCTTGATATATTCTCTTATTTTCAAATGACATAGAAGACAGTGTCAAAGTAAAACATATGCTTTCGATAACTCAGTGTTTATCATTGACTTGTGATATTTTCTCGAGTTTTAAATCAAATTTATTTTCTCTCAAACTTACTTTTCTAATTGATATTCGACACATGCAGGAGTCCAATGCCAGTGTATCAGTTCTTGCGTACATTTTACATGGAAAATGATCGGATTTATCGATTTCAACTTTATTTTCATTTATCTCAAATCGTCTAAACAAACAAATTAAAGTCAAATTCGAGACGAAAAGCGAATGGGAATAAACTTAAAATGGAAAAGGAAAACAATGTGGTAGTAGTACATCAGAAAATGTTTAAAGTTCATTCCTATGAATATTTCGAATCTTACAGAAAAATCAGTCTAACTAATTCACATAGTTTATGTGAGCCGTAGTCAAATGAAAACATCTAAAAAGTACTCATTACCATTAAACAAAAACACACTACGATAAAAGAGAAATCAACGATTTTAACTAGTATCCATCAATAACGTTCCACTATCAGGAGAAAAATAAAACTTTTTCAAGTCTACGCATCAGACGGTGTGCCCATCAGGAATCCTAGATCTTCTGATTTCTGAAACTTTTCTGCCTCGTTTCTGCTCTTTTTTTGTTCAAAAGTCGATTGCTTGTCTGATTTTCGCCTTTTATTTTCTGATCTTCTTGTTTTGGATCTGGTATCCCTTGTGCTTATTTTACTTCCTTTTTTTTTTCATTAAGCAGACTCATTCAAATAGAATCAAACACAATAGTAAGACTAAAGATTCCAAGATACTACAGACAGTTTTTTAAGTAAGAAAAAAAAAGAAAAATAAATCATCGATATTTAAACCTACTCGTCACTTGTATAGGTATGATTGCCACCATTTAATAATCGAATTTTAAAAAAGAATTTTCCACCATTATATGGTAATGATACAACACGAATTATTTGTAATTCAACCTAAAAGAGATGAGAATTCGATAAATTCATACTGTAGATGATAAACGATATTTCAAAAATGAGTAAATGAAAATGATATTTAAGTGAAAACAATGGGAAATGAAAATAACGTTCATTTTCTTAAAAAACAAAACAGATAACTTACATCGAATAAAAAACGTTTTTTCTTTTGAAATGATAATAAATTTCCAAAATTTGACCAATGATCATCGCCTTTTTCATCGCCACCCATTCTATTTCAAGAACATTCACAATTATTTACATAAATATACACGTACAAATTACTAGAACTAAAAGAGAATAAATAAAAATATGTCTATCAATAAATAATCATACAAAGGTGAACTTATACGTATGAAAAAATTGAGACATGAAGTATGTCTCGTCGAATTTTACCTGATTCTTTAACAACTGTCTACATTTGCTCGTAAACTTAGTAAAAGTACAAAATAAACTTTAATCTTTAGGCAATATTGAATATATCGTGTCGTCAGTAATTACGCACTACTCAACTAATATTTCATATACTTCGTTAAGTGTAAGTAAACCATGGAATAATCGCATTAATAAAACTAACAAAAATGAGATTTTGCGTAGGTTAATAACTTTTTGCTATCAGTCACGGCGCTACTTGAAGACATTTATAGAGAAGAGATAAAGGAAACTTGAATGGTCTCTCAGACCTCACGACAAGAGTAAAAGATTTCAAGAGTTTCTTTAACTCTCACTATTACATTTTGTCTTGGATGTATCAGAAGTGGGCAATTCCGCCTATTTCCAAGTCGAGATCTAGAGATGGGCGAGTTTTACCCGTACTCGAGACATTTTTTAATATATACTCGAGTACTCGGATAAAAATCTGTTTAACTATAAAAAAAGAGAATTCAAAAGAGACTGATCAATATACTATCATCACACGAAAAGTTTTCCAACGGCAATCTCGTTTTTTTAAAAAGATTTGTACTCGAGTAAAACTGTTTTGTACTCGTATCCGCCACTAACTACTCGTACTCATACTCGAAAAAGTGTATACTCGCTTACCTCTGTCTAGATTCAGGTCCAAATTTACAGTGGTTTCTTCACTATTATACTACTTTTTTGAAAAAGGTTTTCTGAATGTGAGGTGATCTGAAATATTTGTTAGCTATACAAACAAATATTTCAGATTCTTCTTTGTCAGACGTTCCACCATCTTTTAGCACGTATTTCACCTTTACCCTCACAAAACCTTTTTCAAAAAAGTTTTTATGAACAAACAAAAAAAACAACTTGTTTTTTGTTACTTTAATAAAAGTACCAAAATAACAAACTAACATCTGTTGTTACTAGTGACAGTAATGGTAAACAGCCAGCCCTACATACATTAGAGACATATTTGACAGAAAGAAGATTAATAAATTAGATAAATTAAATTCTACCCATCCTGTTGTTGAATGTGATAGATTTTAATTGCTTAAAGTTTAAACGTACTTGATAAAAAAGATTCTCTACATCAAAAAAAAAAAGTTTCAAGTTTCCAGACTTGGATTTGCCCACCTCTGGTCAACAACTACAACTAAAAGTGTTTAAAAATGAGTGGTAGAAATCAATTTCTATTTACATAAGAGAAAAATATCATAGATTGATAAAACTGAAATGACAGATCGAATAGCAGTAATTGAATCGAAAATTTCATACAACATTTGATTGTTTTGTTGTCATTCATTTTTTTTGTATTGAAAATTGATATTTAGTTTTCCACTTGAACTACGTTTGCTAACCATTAAAAAAAAAACATCGCACGTCTAAGAAATCTATCCATTCGCTAGTTTTGTACATATCGCTACGAGAAAATTCATTTTCAGCTTTTCCAGTATTTTTAACTCAACAAGACAAGATAGTCGTGTAGATTGTACAAGTTTTGACAACAGTGTAAGTCTTAACATAAGAGAAAATAGTATATCTTTTGTTCAAATACATTTAAATTCAGAGAGGTGCAGAATCTCTACCCGTGAGTTTTTTACGAACGGTAAAATTTTTGAAAAATTTTCCACCTACGCTCGTACACGTAGGCGCGTCGATTCTGCATCTCTATTTACATCACAGAAAAATATCTTTAAATAAGTGACAAACTTAAAAGAGTGAGCTGTAGACACAGAGAGGTGCTGAAAAGCCTTTTTTTCTCTGAATGCATGAAGATAAAGGTTTAAAACATCACAAGTTAATTTCTTTGTTTGTTTGTACCGAATGAGCCAAAAAATACTTACCCCTCTATATTTATTGGCTTTCTTGTGTAGAAATATAATTGAACTTTTCATCATTAGTTTAGTCGATTAGAGCAAAGATTTCTGGACAAAATGAGACGTCTCCGAGTTCTCTACGAGCTTTTCTCATAAAATAGCATTCAATTTACGAAATGTCTCATACTACCAAAATCAGGACAATTAACGGGAAAACAAGAAAGATACACTCTTAGAGCCTTCCGTAAATTGAATGTTGTTTTATGAGAAAAGCTCGTATAGAGCTCAGAGACATCTCATTCTGTCCAGAAATCTTTACTCTTCTTGATTAAACTGACCGCTAAAACGTTCAATTATATTTGTACACAAGAAAGTCAATAAATACAGAGAACGTAAGTTTTTTTGGTCCACTCTGCAGCATAAAGTGTACTCTTTTCTTTTTAATCAGATATTTCTTAACTCTTTTTGTTTTCATATTTTTACATTATGAAAGAGGATAATCGATGTTATGTTTATCTAATAAGTTTTGATAGAGATTCGACGCTTCAATGAATAATTTCTACTTGACGTCAGAAAACTTTTTTTTAATGGCGTACATATGTGAGACTGCAGATGTATAGAATTTTTCACGCTCTATTAAAATAGAAGTTTTACTAGACATACAATACGTTTACTTAGAATGATGTGATATTCTTTGGAAAAAAAGTTCAAATGATATAGACTACAAGACAAGAGAAAAAGGAAAAGGAATCTATGATATGAAACATACATAAACGAATAGATGAGCAAGAAAATCAGACGTATCATTTCTTCAGATGATAGGAAAAAAAATAATTGTCTTTGTTGTTGTTGTTTTTTCCTATTTACTTTTTTTAATTAATTCTATTATTTCTTTTTTTAAACTTGTTGTATAGCATGAATTCATGACAAATTGTACATTTTTGACATAGACATATCAATAGAAAACAAATTTTTAACATCTTCAAGTATTGTTTTTAGTCACGTTTATCGAAATAAATTTTTACCTACTTATTTTTAATTAACTAATTTCTTCTTCAATCCAATCGTCTCATTAATCACGAATTGTTGTCATTATTATCATCATCATTAAAAGATATTTAAAAAAAAAAACACTGAAGAGAAAGAGATAATGAATCTAAAATTAGAATAAAATGAGAATCATCGTCTACAGAACAAAAGTGACACAACAATTTCATAATTATTTTCTCAATTTTAATGATTTTATTTTTTAAAAGTTTTTTTTCAATAAAAAAAGAAAATAATATCGTTCTCTTTCTAGAAAAAGTAGTTTATAGTGCCATTATTTAACTTTGTTTAAATGACCTGTTGAATTGTTTCTATTTTAAAAAAATGTAACAAAAAAAAAATATCAATGAAAGTTTTATGTATTAAAAAACATCACCATAACATTTTTCTAAAAACATCTTCACCTTTTTTTTTTGAGTATAAAACGAGACAAAGAAAATGTCATAGAAAATACAAAGTAAAAATGAACGTTGATGACTTTTTTTTCTTTTTTGTTATGAAGAAGAAAAATAGAGAAATAGAACAACAACAATAACAACAAGAATTTGAGAACATTTTTGTTTTTTGACTGTCTACGTTATTTCATTCAATAACTCACCTGATTAACACAAACGTCATAGTCAAATAGAATATAAAAATTTATTCTCATTAATAAACTCATCACGTAAGTAAATTAGAAAACAGACAATTTTTAATTGTCAAAAAGGAATAAATACAAGATCTATGAGTATAATGAAAAAATTCATTGAATAGTTGATAGTTTTTCTTTATTATACTTTTTTCTACCGCAATTTGACCTTGATATAACTGTTTTATCTGTCCTTGAATGACGTATTATTTCGTTGAATGTATTAAAATGGCAGGTGTATAACGTCATATACTCAAATTTTAATAAAACATTTTTTTTTTTTGTCACTATATAAACTCGGAAAGAGAGAGAGAGAGAGAGAAAATAAAATATGACATGACACAAACACAAGTAGACTACGAGAATTAGAATAGAATACAGATGTTTGACTCATTTAATTCACTTTAAGCGTCTTCGTACACTTTTTTCATAGAAGTCAAACAAAAAAACAAAACAAAACAAAACAATGAGAAAAATGACGACCTTGACTGATTTTCTGATGAAACAAATTTAACATCAAATTGGAAAACGTGTAATGATAAATAAAAAATGGATTTTATAAAAGAATTTTTGAGTGTCCTTTCTTCTGTCTACTATGCGGTGGTATGTGTATTCGAAAACTAAACTAAAATGGACAAGAATTTACAAAGGAAAAAAAAGAAAAAAAAAACGTTTGTTATTTATGAATTATACACACATTTTTGACACTAGATTACATACTTGATTGGATTTAATAGAGTGTGATCATAAAAATAGTGTTTTTCTCTTTGGTGTTTATGCACAAATCATTGGAGACAACATAGTAAAAAAATTCTTTTTTTTCTTCTTCTACATCACTCTATTATTGAGTATTAAACTGTAAAAGAAAGAAAAAAAAAAAAAAGTTTTTTTTTTTATTATTCTTTTCTTTTTATGTTGAAAGAAACACTTGCTGAGAGTATATGTGCTCAACATTCAATTTCCTTAATTAAAAGATGGAAAAACATAAAGCGTAAAACTAGAAAAACATAAATGTTTTATGGATAAGGAGAAGGAGAAGAAGAAGAAGCAAAGAAAATTTCTGAAAATCATCAGCATTGACTTCTAACTAAAAAAAAGAAAAAATTAAATGCATTCAATAGATTCTATTTTAAGGAAGAGAACCTTGACATCGAGGGTTCACCTACTGTCAAATAGTTTTATGAGAAGATCTTATACCTGTGCAGAATGGATAAAAACGAAAACGATAGATCAAAACTCTCTTACGTAGAGATTGAAACGTTGAGTGAATAACCTGACTGTTACAAGATATTTTGAAATTCAGAACATTTTAGTGCTATTTAGATTGCATATGCAATG